TCAAAATCTGAGACTTAACAAAGAAAAGGGCACGATATTGTTTGATCCTACTTACTACAGGAAGTTAGTTAAGAAACTTTTATACTTAACAATAACAAAACCAGATATATCTTACAATGTACGGACTTTGAGTCAATTTATGAATCATCCTACTGACCTCCACTTGACAGCAACTTTCAAAATCCTGAAATACCTTAAAGGAACTCCAGGGTATAGTTTTTTTTTTCCGTCTGCAAACACGTTGGATCTAATAGCCTATTGTGATTATGATTGGGTATCCTATCCTGACAACAGACATTCTGTTTCTGAATTTTACATATTTCTTGGTTCATCTTTGATTTCTTAGAGATCCAAAAAGCAATCAGTTGTATCTTGATCTTCAACAAAGACTGAATATTGTGTCATGGCTACCACTAGTTTAGAAATTACTTGGCTGCGTTTTCTCCTCACAAACCTTCAAGTTTCTCATCCTTATGTTGTTAAATTGCATTGCGATAACAAAGTTGCGCTGCATATTACCTTGAACCCGGTTTTTCATGAAAAGACCAAGCATATCAAGTTGGATTGTCACCTTATTCGTGACAAAATCCAGGAAGAAATTCTGAAGACTGCATGTATTTGTTCCACAAAGTCCTAATTGGTAAATTGTTTTATGAAAGTTCTACCTGCAAACTTGTTGTCTCTCACATATCCAAGATGAGCATCGTAAATTACTATGCTCCATCTTGCGAGGGCTTGTTGAAGAATGAGAATGATAGAAAGTTGTCGGAAGAAAAAGATGAGCATCGTAAACTACTATGCTCCATCTTACGAGGGCTTGTTGAAGAATGAGAATGATAGAAAGTTGTCGGAAAAAAAAGGATAATCGTTTTCTTTTTTTCAGCCGACAACAATTAGGCCTCTTAGTTTATTCTACTATTCCTTTTCTTTCTTTTTTTCCCTTTAAACCGGACATGCACTTGAGGTTGTATATCATTTCTTTCTCATGGGAGAGTATATCTAAGTAGACCAGACCTGATGTGTGTGTGTCTATATATATATATATATATCTTGTGTAATTAAGAAAATAATAAAGAGTAAAAGGAGTGACCTGATGAAACCTTGAAATCAATCTCTCTCCTTCTCTGACTTTCTTTTTTATTTTTTTAAGCTCCTGCAACCTCTAGCATTTCTTTCTTTAAGTCCTAGTAGTTAATAAACTAATATATTTTGAATTTTGCTTTCTCTATACTTTTAGATATCTATTATATTTTCATATGATTAATATTTATTTTTTAATAATATCATGAGGATAAAAAAAATTTAAACTATAAATAAATTATAAATCATTAAAGATTCAAAAATGGGGTCAACTTGAAGCTGGCAGAAAATGAAATATTCTGCATGCATTTATGACCTTACCACCTGTTAGATGATTGGGACTTGGAGGTGGCATTTCTCTCATCGTATAAAAACAAAATTTACATCATCGCATCAAATTAATTTCTTCCTGACTTCCAAAAATCACAAAGCAAATGGCTATCAGAATAATTATTTGTTTTGGCTTGCATGTTCTCGCGCAACCGATGCATTGTTAATTATTTTGAAATTGAATTAAATAACAGTTTTACAAAAAAAAAAAAAGAATTTTAGGTTGTTTTTAAAACAAAAATAGAAAGATCAAGGATAAAACTTAATATTTCTATGCAAATTAACATTGAAAAAAGGGATCTTGTCGTTTATCTTGTTCAAAAAAAAAAGAAAAAAAACCGTGGGAGATCCCAGTAAATTAATCCATGACATTAATATAAATAGAGAGCAATGCGGCTAAACAAAGACAAGCTGTTAGGGATAACTAATTCAGTAACACGCTGCGCATCATGGAAGACAGTACCCAAATGATCACCGAAAACAACAATCTTGCAGAAACCGATGTGATTGCTGACCTCCTGTCATCCCTTCCCAAAGAAAAGTCATGGCAATCAGGTTATGTGTATCGATACCAAGGCTTTTGGTGTCCTGAAAAGCAGATTCCTGCTCTGATTGCATTTCAAAAGCACTTCCGAGCACAGAAAACAGATACTATACTAGTCACCATGCCTAAATCAGGCACAACGTGGTTGAAAGCCTTGGCATTTTCCATTATGAATCGTGCAAAATATACACCCTCGTGTAGCCCCTTGAACTCTGTCAACCCTCATGATCTTGTACCTTTCTTTGAGTTTGGGCTTTACGCAAATAACCAAATCCCTGACCTGTCTACCTTTCAATCCCCTAGAATGTTTGCTACTCATGTGCCATATCCATCAATATCGGATTCCATCAAGAACTCAGGCTGTCGAATTGTTTATCTTTGCAGGAATCCTTTTGACAACTTTATCTCCTCGTGGCATTTCCTCTCAAAAACAAGACCTGAGGGACTTGGACCACTTCTTTTGGAGGAGGCTTTTGATAGTTTTTGCAATGGACATGGAGGATTCGGTCCCTTTTTTGACCACGTATTAGGGTATTGGAGAGAGAGCTTAGAGAGACCAGAGGAGGTTCTGTTTCTCACGTATGAGGAAATGAAAGAAGACATTAATTATCAGATGAAAAGGTTAGCTGAGTTCCTGGGCTGTCCTTTTTCCTTGGAAGAAGAGGCAGACGGGATTGTAGAAGGAATATCAAAGTTGTGTAGCTTCAGCAATTTGAAAGACAAAGAGATCAACAAGACTGGTAAGTCTCTCCTATACTTTGAGAACAAGACTCTCTTTAGAAGAGGTGAAGTGGGGGATTGGACCAATTACCTAACCCCTGAGATGGTGGATCGTTTGAACAAAATCATGGAACAAAAGCTGGCTGGTTCTGGTTTGAAGTTCAAGACTGGTTTGTAGATAGTAGTACTTCAATGCATTATCTGTGTTTCGTGTTTGTGTTTGTTTGTGAGTGGGATCTTGATCAGTGGACAATGATGTGCTTCAGATCTAGCAAAAAAATAATTAGTCTTGTCCCACTTGGAATTGTAATAAGATTACGTTGATTGGATCTTCTTTGTTGCTGTGTGATCCTTCTTCTTCTTCTTCTTCTTCTTCTTCTTCTTGTAATAATAATAATAATATCATAAACATGCCAAATAAAATAGAAAAAGGCAAACGAGTATACTTAGGACATCTATCAAGATATATTTATCATACTTTGTTAAGTGTTGGATTATGTTAAAAAAAGTCAATTATTTAATTGAAAATCAATGATATTGATTACATACATTGAATAAGTTTTATTTTATATAGTAATATTATACACATTAAATGTTTTTGAAACATATTGCTATTTTTTAATGTTCATTATAAATTTAAAAAGTAGAAATTGATTAGATAATAATATCATTAATTATCTACTTTTCATCCTTTCTTTACTCTCAATCATGTAGTGCACATAATTTGAAAAGTAACATGAAAACAGTTATGTTTTGAATTTTAATTTCAATTTAAATTTTATTATAAATTAGAGTTGCCACACGACATTGTTGCTGCTTGCCATTTTCTTCACCAAATGTCTTGTTGCCTGAACTTAGATTCTAAATGCTGATTCATTAATTAGCTAATCACATGATATATAATGAAAAGAAAGAAAATAAAAGTTTTCAAGTTTTTAAATTGTAGATAATTAAGCTATAAAGAAAATTTTGATTTAATAAACTTTAGATATTAATAATATTATCTATTTTTAAAAAATAACATATAAGATTGTTTAAATATTAATAATGTTAATTTATTGTTTAAATATTAATAATGTTAATTTACCTAACAAACTCAAACCAAATAAAATTTTGAAAGCTAATTAAGAAAGTAGCCTAAAAATAATGAGATAGAAAAAAAATACTTTCAAATCTATTTTGGGCAGATTCTGATCTTATTAAGCACTAGTAGGCTAGTCATACAAGAAATAAGAAGGTTGTTTGTATTTGGTTTAAAAAAATATTTAATTTATATTTTATATTTTTTATGTTATTTTTTCTTGTGATACAATAATATTAAAAATTAAAAATTATATTTTAATACATTTTTAAATTAAAAAAATACCACATATCACAACCACTAAATCTGTATAGTGTCATATCAAGATTTCAGCTTGATTGATGCAATAATTGCATAGAAAGTGAGGTTTACTTTTTAAAAACAGTCATTTGGCTTTTCCAATTATATCATAGACGTCTTGTATCAGCTACAGCAAGTCCACCGTAAAGTAATATTTTTTATCTTACAAGAAAATCCTTGAGATTTTTGGGAGATCGGTAGGCGTTAAGTTTTCAATTCATCACTACTCAGTCTTTGCTGTCATAAGGGCCTACATATTCATTGGTTGTTTGTTTCCACATTTCTTTTGCATGCTAGCCTTGTCGAAAATTAGAAAATCTATGGCCATCAATTTCAAATCCCAAAGCTGGATTCGTGGCCGAACCTGTCACCATTTCATGAGATTATGTAATGATATTTCGACAATTTTTACTATAATTATCATACTTTAATAATCCAGATGGATTAGTCATGGATTAATTGGGTTAATTTTTGGGTTGGTAGTTAGCCCAAATATATTCTTAAACAATTTTTTTTTGTTTATTTTAAAATAAAATAATAATGTTTGAATAAAAATAATTAAAATAATATCATTTTAAAAATATAAAAAAATAAAACTAACTAGGTCACATACCACATGATTTTAGCTAAGTTAGCTAAATCATGAATTAACTCATAAATCATGTAATTTTAATTGAATTAGATGGTATTTGTGAGCATAATAAATATTATTTTTCTAAATATTTTATGTTAGGATAAAACATCAAGATAATAATATTATTTTTTATGTTTTAAATTTATTTTTTTATATCAGTAAATTAAAACAATCTAAAAATACTAAAAAATAATTTTAAAAAATCATATTTTAACAAAAATTAAAAAAAATAAAACAGATTAAAACTGGTTTTCAAACCCCCTCTACCCAACTAGAAATTTACTGATATAAAAAAATAAATTTAATCTACCCAACTAGATTCAAAAGCAAATTCAACACATTTTTTAAAAGTCAACAAGCTTAGCACCAAGCAGACCAGACTTCAGTATCGTATCCGTTGGAAGTTTCAGCACGAGACTGTTCCCTCAAAACCACTTGACATCACGTCAATTTATTTTTTTCTGAAACTTTGATATCTATCGATTGATTTCTCTATGCTTAATATCAACCAGGCCCTTCTGTTTGCAACCTGAGGAAATTTATCTTTACTTCAATTCCCACAATAAGGTTGAAAAATGAGAAGAGAAAAAAAATACAATCAACGTGAGATTCAATTAGTAAAGATATTGCAAAGCCAAATTCAATTACATTGTCCAAAAAATCTCAACCAATTAGATGCAGACAATACTTGAAATTACAAAGATAAATTCACTTAAAATCTATTTTATATTACACCTACAATACCCATCCAAACATGCATACTCAAGCTAGTAAATATTTATAAAATCTTAATTATAACATTTCATATCCTGAACGTTAAATGGAAAACTATCAAAAGAATTTTCAAAGGTGTATTTATTAATATATTTTGCATTTTCAATACATATTCATTTTAAGTTTATGTACATAAAATTAAACCCTAACACAATAATTTAGGCTTTTATGTTAAAGTAATGTCCATACGTAGAACTTGTACATACAAGTGACTTCCTAATACAAATCCATCCAGCACAAATTATATCCACGAGCTTATAACAAACTTGAATCTTGAATCAAGATAGCTCATTCTTTAACATTACTCTCACTTTTTTTCAAGAGGTAAGACAAAATAATTTATTATTGACCATAATTTATAAAGCAATCAAAGTTGTCCGCGTGTGATGATTTGGGAGACATTATACTATAATGCTGATTTAGCTGTCTACGCATTATCCAATTTTGAGTATTGGATTGTTTATAAATTTTTTAATTAATTATACTCTACAGCAGCTGCAATAGATTACCATTCAAGGATATCATTCTTAATCTGCAGCGCAGAGCCTTGGTTGAGCAACCAGGCTAATGATAGGGAATGGAGTCATCAATGCTAGAACACTTCAAGAAGCGGTAATCTCACTTCAAAGCTTAGGATCTTAGAGTGAAGTTTGCTGCAATTTGAAACAGGGAAGAGGAAAACAATGTCAGGAACCTTCAAGTTTGAAATCATACAAAGCACAAGGCATATCATTTTCACACTAGAAAGAAGCAACGAAAATTAAAACTTTTCCCTGCCTGTTTGGAGATTTTCTGTATTAAATCATTTGGAAGGAAACAAAATGGAAGATAGTTTAACACTCTTTTTATGCTCAATAGTAGGAAATGCTCAGACAGGCACCTCTATTTATGTTCTCAAGTGCATTGCTTGCTCAGCATTTTGGTTTTCCATTTATTTTAAAAGAAGAGAGTGATGGGAGAACCCACCTAGAATCAACCCAAATCTTGACAGAATTTCCGTTGATTTTAAGTTTGCAATCCCTTTTCCTTCTTAACTGTTGTAATTTCTACTTTAGGGTAGAGATATGACCCACCAAATTCATAAGGTAGGCAATAGTCGATGAACTTGTCCACGAATCTGCTTTGCTATCCTGTCTGAACTTAGCTGAGTGGGGGGAGGGTGGTAATGTTCCTGATATGTTCCATTTGAAAATAGACCTAAAGCAAAGAGAAGTAAAAAAAAGGAATACTTGAAATGATTCAAGATAGGCAATGGAAGAAGAATATAAATAATAGGCAAAAAAAGGTGAAGCTATCGCAATTTTTAAACATTTACCTCATGTGGATGTGAAGAGGAAATATCAAATCTCTTGACTCCAATCCATAGAAGTTGTGCATTTTGTTACCTCAATCACCGAAGGAGTGGCCTCATCCTCTATGAAAGGAAGAAGCTTCCCTAGATGCAAGCTCTTTGCGATCCAGCTAGCTGGCTGCAAAAGTTACCAACTTCAACTTCAACTTCAACTGAAAGTTGTGGGGAAAACCATAACATTTGAGCATATTCAAGTGCAGGAAAAATAGGTTTGGGGCACCCTGGAAGCCTCCGATAATTTTATTTTATTTTATTTTTGATAAGGGAAGCCTCTGATAATTTCCAAGTGGTCAAGGGATTCTATTTTTTCAACAAAATAAGGAATCCGAAAGGGGAAAAAAGGTAAAAGAGAAGAGTGCCTACCATCATGGGTATTTTCCTTTCTGAAGCACAGTATCTCAAGTGACGTAATTCCCGGGTCTCATTCTCAGTGACAATAGCCCCCATGGATATCTTTTCAGAGTCGAGACTCTCCACTAAACTTTGAAGGGTTTTGAACACCTGTCCACGTGCATGCTAAGAAGCACAAACAAAGAAAAACAGGTCCATTGTGACTATAATTCACCGTGTCAATGCACCATAAGAAAGGATGAAATTAACATTTAAAAAAAAAAACAAAGAAAGAGAACAAACATGTTGTATAATAGAATAATATTGTACTAGAGGAGACGTTTCTTAAGCCAGCATTGGGGACAGACATTGAGTAACTGGAATGACAAATGTGCACAGAAGTAGTGTGATTCGACAATATGTTTTTCTGTATCTCACATATAAATTTGAATATCTCTACATTTGCATTTGCATTGTATGCTTGTATCATCTCAAAAATAAACCGTATATTTAGCAAATTTTGATAGCATGAGTCTAAATCCCCAAGAGGATTTCAAATATTCTTGCATCAAGTTCTTCACTACATTGATCTTAAAGCTAATTAAATCATTTCTTTGGTGAAATTCGAGAGGACAGCTTGTGAATTTCAATAACTAGCTAGATGACTACTCAACTTTTTTCCCATCATCAAGCACATTTATAGTTTTATTGATACATGTTGATTGCTTTGCACAAACCCCCAATCACTATTTGCACTTGAACAGAGCTTTGAATGAATAATAGAATGACACATCCGTGGAAGACTACATCCCAGATAATTCACAGGTGATTAAAATGCATGAAGTAATTGAAATTTGCTGTAAAGATCATCAAAATCTGGATGAGAAATAGTTCCTTGACATCAAGATAATACTTACCTTCACTATTACTGTCAATTTGGTGCAAAATCTATGCTTCCCATGAAGCACAATCCCTACCCTATCAAAAATATGCTTCCGATGATTGCAGCAAACTGACTTCCCTATTCTTGTACACTTCAAATAAGCCTGATTTGATATGATCATGTATCTGAAAAAGATCAATCACAAATCATGAAACCAATAGAAAAAAAAATGAGGCAAAGTTGCCAAGCTTAAAATCAGATACACTGAAATTAAAAAGCAAAATTTTAATTATTCCAAAGAGAGGGGTCGTGTTGAGGAACATCATGAGCTAAGGCCCTCCAAAAATGGTATCTCTATTCTCTAGAAATAGATAGGCACCAATTCTCTATTTCATTATTCATACAAGTTCCAGTAATTTAATTTTCAAAAAACTCTGATTTACAGATCTCAATCTAATTATGCATACAAATGTGCATGATAAATTGAAAAAATTTACAGTCTAAACCCGTCAAAACCCTGCATAAGTTCTTCTAAACCAATACAGAAAAAAGATCGTGCGCTACAGAGACACAGACCTATACTTAAGTTCACAACAAGGTGATCACATATCAAATTTGCAGCAGTTACATGAATAAGAAAAAAGTTTGCCATGGCTCCCAATGAAGGTCCCTTCAAAACTATCAGGCAAACTTAGATATACCAATTCCGTCTAAAGCTAAAGCCAATTCATAAATGGGACATTCCCCAGGTTTTGCACCAAAAGGAAAGGAAAGGAGGTAAAGAAAAGGAAGACTAATAATATAACCATGAATATGTTTTCAAGAGCAAAACTTTTTGTTCAGCAATAAACAATATGTATGACTGAAATTGATTTTCAGGCATGTCCCGTTTCCTTCACCTTTTATGCCATTCATACTTTCTCCATGCTTAACCTAGACCTATGTCAAAGACATGATGGCACCAAGAATCAATCGCAACCATGTTTGCTTGGCCTATGACCCACTCATACTAACTATGCCCTTAATCAATGGCTTCAGTCACAACAATATACTAGCTGTCCAGTCGAAACAGGGATTAACATCTGTAACAGAAGTTGCATTCAATGTCTTAAAGTATGTAGACTTAAAGCAAATTCACTTACTAAATTCAGAACCACATATATAACAAGAACGTTCATAATACAGCACCAATGCATAACTTACTTGCCAGGAGATACAACAGAACCTGCTGCAACTGAATCAGTAAGCCACTTTAATTTAAGAATGAGGGCATTCACAGCACATCCATACAAGAACTTGGTGGTTTGTAGCTGAAATTAAAATGATCATGTTCAGGAAATAATTATATCATCGACAAGAAAAGAAGTTCCAGCATTGATAAAATACTAAATAAGTTTTTCTAATTCCAAAGAAAGAGTTCAGGTAGAGTTCAGTTATAGAAAAACATTGATCTTTCTCAAATATTTTATACGTTTTTTTAAATAATTAGCCAAAGGTGAAAGTGATTGTGTCAGTTAATTGAAGGCAAAAGGAAGAAAAGGAGGTACCCTATCTTTAGAGTTGATAAGTAGTCTGCTTCAGCAAAAATATGCAACAGCTTCAAAATAATAATACCCATGGTATCAAATCTAGAAAGTTAGAGCTACTACTTAACCCAAACTCTGATGAACCAAAAGGATGAGAAAAGAAAGTTAAGAGAACAAAATAGAAGACAAAAGGCTATGTTCGATTCGTGTGTTTGAATAAAATGAAAACGGGAAAAAATCAGTTTTCCTTGTCTGACAACAATAAAAGGTAAGCAAAATTGCATATGATAAACTTACAATAATGTTACTGTTGAATGTAAGAAGAATAAACGATTTATGGATTACGTAAATTTATACTGCAGTAAGGTTTTCCACTATTTTCTCGCGATTTCAGACGTCATTGTCAGATGGTTAAAAAAGATGTGAAACTTCCATATACAAGTCAAAGCTTTGCAGTTGAGAAGCTAAGTGGAAGATGATGATAGTAAAAAAAAAAAAGAGAGAGAGACAATGACAGGAGGGGGAAACGTTAAAAGATGACTTTAGTTGTTAAAAGCACACCTTTTTTGAACATATAACAACAGGAAGGTGCTGCAGATTAGTTCTTGAAACTCGCTTTAATCTTGAATTTGGAACAGGTGGAATATCCAGTAGAATCATGCCACCGTATACTTGTATTATTTCGATGATCTCTTTTTCCTTCTTATGAGAAAATCCTGTGAGCAAGAACTCTAGACCATGAAATATCGATCTCTTTGCATCTTTTATTTGACCTGTGAAACAACTTTTCACATCTTGAGGTTGAACCTCTGAGCATGTGTTGCCATTGTTTTTCTTTTTATCAGCTCTAATTGTAGAACCTACATAAAAAATAAATAAAAAATAAAACAAATGCACCAGTAACTTCAAGAAGATGAAGAAAGTAGTATATCAGGTAATTGATAAAAGAATCTAACCATTTCTATGTAGAGTTTGTGGCTTTCGAAGGTCCTTGTTTTGATAAAGGTCGACTTCAACTTCTGAGAAACAAACTCGCTTTCTAACTGGATTACAAGCACCAAAGGAGTTTTCCCATTTCAATTTTATCTTCTCGGCATTTTTGCTTGGATGAAGCTTAATTATATTTTCTTGTCCCACAACCTGTTCAGGACTTCTTTCTCCAGTTAAGTTGTGAGCAAAGAGTTCAGAGGCCTGTGGATGGCAGCGTGTCCTTCGGTTTAGAATAAGAGGTGACCTCCTCTGTACTGAAGGTTTAACTTTCATCTCAGTCCTGTCTTTTGTAGGCTGATCATGACTTCTCTTCTGACAAGTTATTTCAGCAACCAGATTCCTCACCACGTCCTGATTTTCTTCATTATCTCTACCATCAGTGCTCTCAAACACAGACTTGAATGGCAAGACCCCTTTAGAATTCCTCTGATCAGACAGTCTAATGCAGCCCATTTCCTGATGTGAGGCAAGAAGATTTCTGACATGTCCTGATGAGTACCTTCCATCATGGCAAGGTCCTTCCCTCTCCAGAACAGCATCACAGTTCGGTGAAAGTGTGCTATAAGTCCTAAGTGAGGCAACCCTCCTTCGAACAGGAGCGTTAGAACATTTTCCCATAATTATGGGCACAGTTTGGCTGTCCATAAAGACAGGCTCGGCTTTTAGATGAGAGGTTTTCTGGAAATTGTCAGTCCCAGTATCTGTTTTGGGGTTGAAGCAGTTTTCAGCATCAACCTTTCTATTATTCTGAACTGAAGGGGAAATGGCATTTTCAAGAGAGATACTACAAGGAACAACAGAACATAGTGGATCCACCAACGATAAATCTGAGGATATAACCTCTTGTTTATCATGTAAAGCTTCAAAAGGTATGCTGGACTGTGAACCTATATTGGACCTCGTTTCATGTTTCTGCACAAAAGAATTCTGATCCGGGGCAAGATCAGCAGATTCAGAGAGAAAGCTTGTCTCGCCAACAAAAAACTTTGGGATACTTCTGGGGCTGTTCTGCTTCCACTTTGCAGAAGCATCTCCTTCCTTGCATGAGTGGAAAAGGATGCAAAATTAACATGGCTGGTGACAGAGGGATTTCAAGAGGACTTGGATAAAATAAATGCATTCCTCACCTCCACTGCCCAGCCTCCAAGCCATCGGCTCTTGAATCTGTCTGCGATTAAATAATGTACTTCATGGGCTCCTCCTGTGAGGGTGGAATGAAGAGTAAATTCAAGCACAAAAGGCTATCAACAACAGTAGGTAGGGGGGGGGGGGGGGGGGGGGGCAAC